GTGTTGTTCAAGGGTCAACTATAGTAACAAAACCCTGTGAAACATCATACTGCATATGAAATCAACAATGGTGAGATAATGGTAACATACAGATTTCTCGACAAGCACAGTAAATTTCAGTTTAATAGCAAAGTTTAGGAAGAACCAAATGCAATAGGGTATATTTGGCCCTCTGCGTCTCACCTTCACTTGTCTGGAATCTTGAGGACATGAAGAGAGGACAAGTATATTTGGGGCCTCTTTAGCTTGGCATTTAGATAGCCATTCAAGAAATTTTTTTTAATGTTTATTTTGAGAGAGCGAGCATGAGCAGGAGAGAGGCAGGGACAGAAAGGGGGACAGAGGATCTGAAGCAGGCTCTGTGCTGACAGTAGCAAGCCTGATGTGGGGCCCAAACGCACAAATCATGAGATCATGACCTGAGCTGAAGTTGGACACTCAACTGCCTGAGCCACCTAGGTGCTCCATTCAAGGAGACATTTTGAATTCATAAGGAAGAATAAAGTTCCATAAGAAATTAAATAAATTTGGACATGTACACACCACAGTGAGACTTGCCTTATCAGACATTAAGATATGCTACAAAGTCAAAATAACAAAAACAGTCTAGTACAGGTGCAGGAACAAATAGAGGATCAATGAAACATGACAGAGTTCCCATTTGGTCCTAGTTATGTGCAGGAAGTTCACGTATGGTAAAGGTGGCACCATACAACAGAGTTTAGACAGAACAGACCACGTTTAGTGGGATAGTACTGTTAATACTGGCTCATGATGTAGATGAAAATAAAGTAGGATCCCTATCTTACATACAAAAGTGGACTCCAAATGCAGTAAAGACCTAAATGTGAATTGCAGAACTATAAACACAGTTTTAAAAACGTAGGGCAATACATTTGTTACCTTGGGTGGAGAAAGCTTTCTTGAATAAAAACTAACAAGCTTAAAGAGTAAGGAAGAAAACAGATGAATCTGGCTACTCATAAGAACTTCTATTCAATAAAGAAACTATAAACAAAGTTAAAAGGATGGAAATTGGAAGATGTGCTATACTAAGCGGACAAGAAATTTATAGCTAGAGTGTAAGAATAACTACAAATCAACAAGAAAATGGGAAACCCAATAGAAAAATGGGCAAATGATATAAAGATGTAATTCACAAATTGGGGGATCACAAGTACATAAAGAGATGTTTGAACTTACTAGGAGTCAGAGCAATGCAAGTTTATTGCCATCAGAATGACAGACTCTAGGAAGGTAGATAACATGGAGTATTAAGGAGAATACAGGATGAAGGGAAACCTTGTGCATTGCTGGTGGAGTAATTTTTAGCTCCTATTTCATATTCCACATCCAATTCCTCAGTGAATCCTGTTTCTATTTTTACCCTTGCCCAAACCCTTCCTATTGTACAGGTTGTATGAGCCTTTTTTTTTTTTAAAGTACGTTCAATGCCCAGTGTGGGGTTTGAACTCACAACCCTGAGATAAAAATTCCCATGGTCTACTGACTGAGCCAGCTAGGCATCCCTTGGAATGAGCCTTTTAAATAAAGTATTTAAAAACTTTTCTTTTAATGTTTGTTCATTTGAGGGGAGGGGGGACGGCAGAGAGAGAGAGAGAGAGAGAGAGAGAATCCAAAGCAGGCTCCAGGCTCTGAGCTGTCAGCAGAGTCTGACCCAGAGCTTGAACTCACCGACTGCTAGATCATGGCCTGAGCTGAAGTCGGGACACTTAACTGACTGAGCTACCCAGTTCACTCCTGGAATTGGCATTTTAAAACATAAGCCAGATCTCATCAATCCTCTGCTCACCACTCTGCTCTAGGTACTTTTCATGTCAGAGTGAAAGTCAAATTCTCTAAGTATTGAGTCTCCAGCTATGGTAAGCACAATATGGCTCCTAAAGATATCCACATTCTAATTCCCAGAACCTGTGAATGTTACATGGCAAGGGGAAATTAAGGTTGCAGATGGAATTAAGGTTCCCAGTCAAATGACCTTGAGGTAGGGAGATTATCCTACTCATTGGTGGTTGCCACTCTCATCACAAGGGTTTTCATAAGTAAAAGAGAGGAGGAATGTCACTATAAGAGTGATGCAATGTGGGAAGGATCTGACTGGCCATTGCTGGCTTTGAAGCTAGGGGACCACAAACAAACAAAGTGAGCAGCCTCTAGAAGCTGGATCCTTGGATTCTCCCCAAGGAACCCCAGGAGGAATACAGCCCTGCTGACACCTTGATTTTAGTCTAGTGATATCCATTTTGGACTCCTAACCTCCAGAACTGTAAGATAATAAATTTGTGTTGCTTAAGTAAGCACTAGGTTTGTGGTTATTTGTTACAGTAGCAATTGGAGACGAATACACCAGCTAACATTCTGTCATCTCAAACTCCTCTCTCACTCACTCTGCCCCATGATCTCATTGCTATTCCTCAAGAATATGCTATGCCAAACCCTCTTCTGTTTTAGGGTTCATGCATTTATAGTTACCTCAACCTGAAGCAATTTTTGAATTGCAAAGCACTTCTGTTGGGGATGATTACTAACATGGGGTCTGAGGCTAACAAGAGCTAGCTGACTTTGAGCCAGGAGGAACTAACAGGGACCAGATTTATCTTCATGTCTTCAACATCTTAAAAAAACAGACAATATATGAAACAGTGGTTTTTAAATGATGGACAATAGGCAGTGCATCCCTAAGAGATCCTTAAGAGAAAGGAAATAAATGAGGTGACCCCTATGAGTGCTCACTGCCTGGGAGTTTCAGGCATCAGCACAAAGAGAGGTAACCCAAACTGTGTTCAGTTATTTCAGTGAGTTGAGAAAACAGGAGTTCACAGTATGTAGAAACCAGGATCACCTGAACTTGTGGAGAGAGGAGAGAGGTACAGTGAGAAAACCGCTCCACAGATCTGCAGAGGAGTCCCCACAATTCTTTGGCTGAGTACTGATCAGGAAACACATGTGTAAGGAAACTAATGAAGCCTGGGAAAGAACCACCGAAAAGTAGAAGGCCAAACAGTCCATATATCTTACAGAGGGCCAAGAATGCAGTTCCCACCAGCCTGAGTATAAAGAACTCCTATCACATGGGGCATTAAACAGAGTCCTCAGAAAGGTATTGGCTTAGCAATGGGGCCAAATTAGCCCCAAGGGTATTTTGGACCTAACGAAGCTTAAAAGCAAGCTTATAGAGCAGTGCTGTCCAACAGAACTTTCCTCAATGACTGAAATATTCTATATCTATTGTCCATTATACTAGCCACATGTGGCTTTTGGAGTTTGAAATGTACATAGTACAAATGAGGAACTAAACTTTAAATTTTATCTGATTTTATTAATATAAATCCAAAATGCCACATGTAGCTAATAGTTACTGTTTTTAACAGTGCAGCTCTAAAAGGTCAAACTGTTTCCAAGTAACATTATTGCATCTCAGAATCCAGCCTAAATATATTTAAAGAAAAACAAAACCAAAAACCTCCAGCACCCAACAATGTAAAATCTAGAATGTCTGTTAGCCAAAAAAATTAATCAGGCATGGAAACAAGTAGAAAAATATGACCCATAAACAGGAGGGAAAAAAAAATCAGTTAATAAAAACAAACCCAGAAATGACACAGGTGATAGAATTAGTTCTCAAGGACTTTAACAACCATTTTAAATACATTCTATATTTTCAATAAGGTAGAGCAAATTATGAGCATGATGAGGTTAGAAATGGAATATATTAAAAAATAATTAAAATTCCAGAGATTAAAAATATAATTCTGCCATAAAAATACTGTAGATGGGATTAACACTGTCAAAGGAAAGAAGAGTGACCTTGAAGATATATCACAAGATGTATCAAACTGAACACAGCATCAGTTAGTTGTAGGACAACATCAAGAGCCTGAACATATGTTTAACTGGAGTCCCCCATTTTTTTAGGGTACCGAGGAGTACAGGAAAAAAGGCAAAGGAGATTTTTTTATTCACGAAGGTGTGAAATGATAGAGAAGCTAAGGGAACAGAAAATCCAGACCTTAGAATTACCCAGGAGTGTTTGTCACAAGTGAGAGAGCACACACACTATAAAAGGATTAGTTGGGGCAGGATGGAGCACTTGCCACTCTTTGGATTTCCAAAGAGGAAAGAAAATGTTCACTTTCGTGGGTTGAGGGAACAAAATTAACAGTCCTTGACAGGAAAAGAAAGGAAAATCTTCATGCTCTAGTTTGCCCTTAAAATGTCCTTTTCCTTACATTCTTTCCAAAGAATCTTCAGTAATATCTAGGTGGTATACACAAATGCTTAAGGTTTTCTTATTTCCCCTAAGGGAAGTACTTTAACTTTTATATTAATAAGCCCCTTCTTCCTCCCAAGTCTTCAACTCAAAGACTTTTGAGGTTCATACATTTTCCCCTTTCTTTTCAATAATGCTAGATAATGAGAACCTTTTATTCACCATAATCTTAGTATCTGAAAAGGAAATGAGATTATACGTTGTTCTCCCTAAAATAACTTTTTAGGATGGTCTTTGAGAATTCATGCTTTGTTTTAAAAAGTTTTAAAAAATTTTTTAATTAAAAAAAATTTTTTTAAGTAAGCTCTATGCCCAGTGTGGAGCTTGAACTCACGACCCCAAAAGAAGAGTCCCATGCTATACCTACTGAGCTAGCCAGGTGCCCCAGTTCCGGCTTCTTTGTAACTTATTTTAGCAGTTAGGTATAATTACACTTCATTACCTCTTGGGACCTCTGACTTTGTCTAAAATAACAAGGATACTCAATTAAAATTTTTAGTGTCTAGCTATACTTACAAAGCATATGATAGCTGATAATAAATGCTACAAAATATAAGAAGAGGTAATGACACAAATAATGATGAAGAAATCAAAGCAGATGAGGAAAACATGTTACTTATATTTAAAATGTACTTCTAAGAATTTGTTCTAACATAAAATGCGTTTATGGGTGCTAATAATATATTGCGGGGGGAAAAGGAGTACTCACCTGGCAAAACAGGAATTGTCTCTTCAAATGTGAAATTAGCTTTGAAACACACAGGCGAAAACTTTATTATCAGAACAGCTATAAAAACCTAGTTACCTATTTCATCTGTAGGAAGAAGCAGGGAGATAAAGCCATTAGAATTCAGGAGTCTTTGGGGTCATTTAAGACAAATTATTTAATATTAAGAAATGTTAAAAAGATAGTATTTTCCAGCCAGGCTCCAAAAATTTGGCAGATTAATGCAATCCTCGTTCTTTTTCATTAAAAAGCTCGTTTCTCCACTTTTAGGTAATGTCGTTATTTTTAGCATAGTTGAATGGCCAAAAATATTACACCTGGTTAAGTTAAAAGGAGTGTTCCAACACTGAAGGCTCCTACTTGGGAGAACACAAATTTAAATGCTTTTAAGACAGGAAAACAATCGATACAATATTAAATATTAAGTGAGGTAGTACACCCTTCCTTTTTTTTGTTAACAAACAACAGTTTTTCTGGAAAGGAGTTTTAGGGAACTGACATTTGGGGAAGGAATACCGGCCAGGAATCAGCGCCTGCCACTTCTCGATTCAACCATGACTGAATTGTGCAGGGCTGACCGGTCGTGGGTCCACGGGCTCCCCAAACTACAGGCTGCCGGCGCTCACCCGAACTGCTCTCTCCCGAGAGGCTGCAGCAGCAGGACCCCCACCTGGGAGACTCCCCGAAAACCGGCCCCTGGCTGCGGCAGGAGAGCGAACCAACCTCCTAGCGCTCAAAAGCAGGTCTGGGGAGTAACAGGTTCACTGCACGTGTGTCCAAAACGGTGTAGGACCCTTAAGAAAAAAGGTACAAAGCTGCAGCAGCAAAGCAGCAGGTGTTCTAGAGCCGAGGGAAGGAGGCTGGAAGAGAGACACAGCCCTGCGCATGCGCGCTCCATCCAGGTGCGGCAGCCGCTGGCAGAGATAAAGAATGAAGTGGTGGAAAAGGGGGCTGCGGCTGGTTACTAGGAGACGGGACGCTCGGGTGGTGCGTCTAGGCTCTGCGTGGCCCTACGCCTGCGCGGCGCGGATGGACCAGGAAGAGGTCTCTGCTACGCGGCCTGTAGGGCAAGCAGGTGGACGTACTCGTCGCTACGTGCGTGGGTGCGCACGCATGACTTGTAGTCCCCGCGAGAGGGAGGGTCAAGCCAGGTACGCGTGCGCACGGGAACTAGGGTCACGCGGGAAGGAAGCCGAGCGAAGGCGCCGGGGAGGTGGAGGACGAGCCCCCCTCAGGTACAGAGCGTGAGGGCGGGGCCGACGGCGGCGCCGACTGCCGCTAACCGCCCCCGCCTCCTTCTCTCAGGGTCCCGCCTTCCTCTGCCTCCACCGGGGCGGGGCCCGGTCGATTTGGGGGTGGGTGGGGAGGGGAAAGGGGCGGAGGATGGAGACCGGGAGGGACTTGGATCTCTGGGGCAGGCAGAGACCTGCCAGTCGTCAGCATGATCTCCAGCGAGGATGACGGGCCAAGAAGCCCAGGGAGGGACTCGGAGCTCCAGGTAGAAGCCTCAGGGATGCGCCGGGTCGGGATAAAGCAGCTCCTGGGCCGGAAGGCCCTGCAATAAGGGTGGGTGTGACGGGTATGAGGGGCTGTGGGTGATCTCCGAGGTGGGTATTCACTGTTTGACTGCTGTGAGGGACGGTGGAGGGCAGAGTCGCGATCCGAGGAAGTCCTCCAGGAACAAACTTTCCCCTGTTGTCGTTTCTTGGGCTCTTAGGGTTGAGCCGAGTTCCTATGGTGACCGCTTCGCTTCCTGCCGCAGTCTCCGCTTGGTTGTTGGGGGGACTGTTCTGTTTAGAAACGCTTGGAGTGGAGCTGAGGAATTTGGAAGTCAGAGATTTGGGAGTTCAACCTGCTCTTTCTGACTCCCAGTCTTTCATTTCTAGGCTTCTTTATAGATTCTGTGAGGTGAAGGGCCGAGATTACGTAGGTATTTGCATGAAAATACCATAATTTCACTAGAAATTATACGCAGAAAAGGCAGAGTGAACTGGGTTTTGTTTGAAAAAATATTTGAGACTGAAGTTGAATAACTGGAGACTGCGGAGCTGATACCTAAATACGTATCGGAATATGTTTTCTTTCTTCCGCTCCAGACTCTTATATCGCAAAATATTCGTTGTTTGAAATGTTCTGTTCTGGTTTTCGGCATTTCAAAAACAGGTGTTTGGGTTTTTTTAAAACATAGAAGGAAATAAATAGAAAAATAATTAGTTTATAACTAGAAAAAATAGGTTAGTTATAAACATAAGTGGAAAGTGTCACATTATTCAGATCTGCTTTCAGGATAAAACTGGTTCTTGTTTGTATTTTAATTGCTCAATGAACTTAAACCATTCAGTTTTAATTAGTGAGAAATAACTAGGAACGTATATTAATGAACTATTTATTGTAAACAATAAACTTTGGCATTATTTAATGGCAGCTTCCAAAACATATTTTGTTTACTGTCTGAAAAAAAAAATCACTGCTTATAGCCCAGCGTATAATCAGATGTAGAGATTATGTTGGCTCCTTTTCTGTCTTCTTTTTTAATTGGTTACCAGTTTTAGGGTAATTTGGTTTTAGAACATTCCATATACAGAGGCAATTAGAGCAAGTGTTCTTAATCATTCTCTTTTCCATCACATGTCCCGTTTTCTCCTCAGATATAGCCACTATCCTGTCTTCTATGATAACCTCTTCCTTGAGTTTCCTTATCATTCATCTTTGTATATGAACAGACACATTCTAGTTTGGCTTGTTTTTGAACTTTATATAAATGGAATTGTAGTAAGTATTCCTTTGTAGTTTGCTTCTTTAAGTCAGTGTTATGTTTTTAAGATTTATCCATGTTGCTTGTAGTTTGTTGTTCAGGTTCCATTTTAAGACTATACCACAATTTATTTACTCGGGTATTAAGGTTTTTGCAGTCTTTGGTAAATATGAACAACACTGCTGTGGACTTTCTTATACATGTACCCCATGATAATCTTTTAAATGAGCTGATTAGTAAGGTAGTCTTGTCTTAGTTATGTGATTAACATTAGTCTATTATTAATAATTTTTGGTTCAGAAAAGCTTCTTAAAAACAACTCTTTAACTTCTTATGTTTCTTAGAAGTCTTGATAAATGATACTTAGGCCATTGGTTTAGGCTGTTTTAAAAATACAAGTGATTTCTTTACAGTATGGTCTGGATATAATTTCGTGAGGAGCTTGGGTTTGGATGCAATGACTAGAGAGATTATTTCTTTTTCCTAAGGAAGGCTAAACACTGTGGCTTTACTCTTCTGTTGGAAGTCAGTTACCAAAATATTTATTTACTCATTTTTATAATCAAAACCTATCTCAAAATTATTCTTAAGACAGTGTGGTTTTCTATATTCTTCTGTTAGTGAGGCTCTTCCTTCCTACTTCAAAATGTCAGCGTAAACTTTAGGAGACAACTTTATAAAAGGAAAACAAGTTGAACTTTTGTGGAACTAGATTTCAGAATCCCATATAGAGTACTCCAGTATTTTTAATTATTCTACCAAAATACTGAATAGATTTGTTGAGCTTGTATTATATGCATGCTATTTTGCTCAAGACTGATGATATTTTTAAGCTCACGATCTTACCTCCTATTTCATGAAAAAAGGAAATTCTACCAGGCAGGACCTTTTGCACATTTCTTCCCCTTCTTACCTAAATCTTTACCTGACTTTGCTTTCTCTTTCTTGTCTCAAAAGACAGTGCACATAACATTTCTTTGGGTTTACTTTTTTTTTTTTTTTTTTTTACTGTTTACTTTTTGAAAGAGAGAGAGAGCTTGAGTGGGGGAGAGGCAGAGAGAGAGAGGGGAGATACAGAATCTGAAGCTCCAGGCTCTGAGCTGTCAACACAGAACTCAATGCATCGCTTGAACTCACAAACCATGAGATCATGACCTGAGCTGAGGTCAGACTGTCAACTGACTGAGCCATCCAGGCACCCCTCTTTGGGTTTACTTTTATTGGCTCAGTGGTCTTTCTCCATTAGTTAACATTAACCCATGTCTTAAGTATCTTCACTGTGTTTATACTGTGGGGCTTCTTAAGCTAGAGTACAAGAACTTTAGGGATTTCTTGAACCCCCTGAAATTGCTTGTAAAGTTTTGTATGTGTTTTTATTTTCCTGAGGAGAGGACTCAGGGCTTTTGTTTAGTTCTGAAGGGAGTCCTTGATATAAGGTGAATTAAGAAACAAGTTTTTCAAAAAAGCCCCAAAAAACCCACAACTTTTTCTGTTCTGTTACAAACCTTCAACAACTGTGGTCTTCTAACTTTTGCTCTACCTCTCACAATCATGCTTCCTAAATTAAGTTTACATTTTCTATTTCCTTTTCTTCACTACTCACTTATTAGTCCTCTTCAAATTTCCATCCACTCCATCCGTATCATTGAAACTACTTTGTTTGAATCATCGAAATTTTATTATTTTGAAAATGTTCTATTGAGTACAAACTTTGTGCTTGGGACTTTTGTAGACATTTAAAAATGTAACAGTAACTGGACAGCATCCTAGATCTCTTGGAGTTTACATTCTAGTGGAGGGAGAAAATAAACAAGTGAAAAAAATAAGTATCATTTCAAATAGTGTTAAGTACAAATAACCTGATAAGAGAGTGACTAGGAGAGAGGATACTTTAATTTTTTTTTTTAAGTTTATTTGTTTTGAAAGAGGGTGAGCAAAGGAGGGGCAGAGAGAGAATCCCAAGCAGGCTCTGTGCTGATGGTGCAGGGGGGCTCAGTTTCCCAAGCCATGAGATCATGACCTGAGCTCAAGTCAAGAGTTGGACGTTTAACCAGCTAAGCCCCTCAGGTGCCCCAGGAGAAGCTACTTTAGGTAAGAGATCAGGGAAGACCTGCTGACAATTGAGCTAGAGAAGTAAAGGTAAGGAGGCAGCCATGCACAGGGCTAGTAGAGAGAGTGTTCCTAAGAGAGGGAAAACAAGGAGAGACCTTGAAGTGGAATGAGATTGGTTCAGTGGAGGAACTGCCAGGAGCTGCACTGGCCTCTCTGGATGGCAGTCACAGCAAGGAAATGGCAGTGTTTGTAGCTCCTGCCATGAGAAATGAAAACTGGAATCTCCTTCTGCTACTACTGGCTCATGTTGGATATAAGCCTGCTGGTATTGACCAGGCCTCACAATATTACATATCGGACCCATATTCTGAATACAGATATCTCATAAGGAAAAGCATATTCCTGCCTTTACAAAAGAGATTTTAGATGAAAGCTCTATGGGCGATTGTCAAAAGGCTCTTCCTATGGGCCTTGCAGTTCCGAGACTTAGGGGGTTAAGAACACAAGAATTACAATTGAGCCTATTTTGGGGTTAAGAGCAGAACACAGTTACTACATATGTCTTTGCTAATTGTTGAAGCATGGCAGTCCCTTCCTCAAGGCCTGCATTCCACAAACACCCTCCCTTACACTGGCAACTGGGATGAGGATAGATAAGAGTAGCTAAAACATAAACCCAGGTGCAAAGACTGACACATTTAGGGCCCCCATGTTAGTTTCCACAAATAAACCAATTCAGAAACATTTATCCTCTTGAGAGCCAGACAGAATAACTCCTAGCTTATCTACATACAATTTAACTTGTATGTTATCCTGTTTTTCACTAAGAACATTCTTTTATTTCCTTGGTCCGAATAATTCTGCAATTGATATCATAAAAGGCCTCCCATTGTAAGAAATTCTTTTCTCTGAGGACAAATATCATATGTGTGCACGTATAGGAGGACTAGGAGGAACTTAACAGAGGACCAATCGGGAGAAGAAGGGGGGAAATGGTGGGGGAAAGGGAGAGAGGCAAACCATGAGAGACTCTTGAATGCTGACAAAAACTGAGGACTGATGGATGTGGGGGGGAGGGGGGGATGGGCATGGAGGAGGGCACTTTGGGGATGAGCACTGAGTGTTATGTAGAAACTAATTTGACAATAAACTATTTGTAAAAAAAAAAAAAATAAACATTAAAATTTTTAAATAATAAATAAAATTCAGATTGAAAAAGAAAAAAAAAAAAAAAAGAAATTCTTTTCTCTGACCTCATGTTGTTGCTGAACTTTTAAATAAAGACACCAAAACCGACAGGGATGCCTGCCTGGTGATCAGAAAGAATTTCAGGGCTCTCTCACTCTCTCTCTCGCCAACACCGTCCATCCTTCAGGGACCCCTGGACCTGTCGGAGCCGGCCTCCGACAAGGAACAGAAAGAAAACCAATAAAGCTGGTGGGTGAAAAAGAGAGTACTGGCTCTATTTAGGGTAGGGAAGGCAGGGACCAAATCATGTAGGACCTTAAAAAACTTTGGATTTTATTCCAATTTCAGTGGGAAGCCATTTGAGTGTTTTTGAGCAGAATCTCATTATTTTAAAATGCTTGTTTTGATTTCAGTTTGGAAAATAGATTGTAGGGAGCAACAGTAGAAGCACGAAGACCATTTAGGGAACTGTTGCAGTAATCATATGGGAGATGATGGTGACTTGAATTACAGAGGTGGTGATAAGCGTGTAGAGACGTGGATGGATTGGGGAAGTATTTAGGGGTAGAATTAACAGGACTTGTTGATGGGGGTCAGGGAAGAGAAACAAAGACAGTCCCTTGTGTTTTTTTTTGACTTTGGGTCCTGCACGGACGATGACGCGTTTGACCTGGGTATGACTGGGAAGAAACACATTGGAGGCTGGGTTGAGAGCAGGAGTGCAAGTGGGAGGACTTACGAGGTCTGTTTTAGACATGTTAACGTTGCGCTGGCAGTGGGCATCCAGTAGGGACAATACAGTGTGTTAAGTGCTCCAGTAGGAGGATATTCATAGTTTGGGGGGAACATGGAAAATATGTTCTAAGCTTTTTTGGGAGGAAGTAGAAGTCAAAAATACTTTTTTGTACTCTTTTTCTGCATATTCTCTTAGCATGTATGTACATTCCTCTGATATGGTGCTAATGCTGCTGTATTATAAATTCTGATTTATTTGTTCTGGGCTTCCCTAGATCCATTGAGGGTTGAAATTGTAGGTTTTTATTTGTTTTCCATCTTTCTATCCCCAGAATCTAATACTGGTTTATTCTTATTCTAGCTATTTATAAATTTGTTTGATAAGTGAGTAAATGTGCCTGTTAAAATCTTAAAATATATACAGAAACGGTGACAGTAGGGATAGAAGAAATGTATTTGAGACAGATTTTAGTGAAAAGACGAGTAGGACTTGATGGCCAATAATATATATAGCACTTCTTTTTGCCAGGCAGTGTTCTAAAAATGCTTTACTCGAACTCATTTAGTCTTCACAACTCTATGATGGAAGTGTCATTCCTGTTTTAGAGGTGGGGAGGCCATGGCCAGAGAAGTAACTTGCTCGTGATCATGCAGCTAAGAAGCAGCACAACTGGCATGACGAACATAAGCAGTCTGATGGCTAAAGAACAAGCTCCTAACCACTATGCTATAATGCTTCCCCCTTGAGAATGATTGTGATTCTAGCTTGAGTGTGTATCATAACAATTTGGCGCTTCCAAAGTACTTTCACTTGCATTCTTTGAGATCTGTACAGGAATACAAGTTCCATTTAGATAGAGATCTTGAGAATGTGGAGGATATTCAGTGGCCTGAGGTGGCAAAACTGGCAGGCTGGGCACAGGCATTTCAGATACACAGATTTCTCTCCCTTTTCACTGCCTCCAAAGATAGTGCAGAGAAAGTAGCAACTCTAATATGATTGTTCACAATTGTCAGGTAGACTTTTGGCCTCTTGCTACTTTTAATTTCTAGTCTAACCTGATAGAAAATTTTAAAGGATCCCTACCTGGCTGTTTAGTTTACCAAAGAGAAGAAGAAAAGTTCAATTTAACCTGCTTCTGTACACCGCTTCCTTATCAACCTATACAAATTTTTATTGGCCCTTTCCTATTGTGCGAAGAATTCTGTGCAGGATGGTAGGAATACAGAGAGCTCTAGGACATTGCTTGTTTGTAAGATTCTACTAATTGTGTGAGGAGGACATATCCAGAAAAAATAAATAGCTACACAGATTATTCTATAACCAATACATACAGAAGTCTCAATGAAGAAGTAATCACTATCTGATGGAGAATACTGAGAAAGCCTACTAGAAAATATGGAATTCAAGCTGCTCCTCAGAAGTGTCTTTAGTTAAGTGGAGAAAAGGGCAAGGCTCATGAACAAAAGATAGTATGTTTCTATAACGATAATATGAACCTATATATAAAGAATATATAGAATAGTTTATTTTTTATAAAGGGGTTCTTGGAGGTATCAATTAGGAGATAAGTTTGGAGAAGTGGGAGGCAGCCACATTATGAAGAGCTCTGAATGCGTGGCGGGTTTTCACTTTAGTTGAAGAGATCCTTGCTATTCAAAGTGTAGTCTCTGTACTAGCCAAATAAGGAATTACTGAGCAGCAGCTTTAGAAATGCAGTATTTCAGGCCTATCATGAGTAAGAAAATTCCTAAATGATTTAGATATTCAGTAAGATTTGAAAAGTACTATTAATTATAGTGAATAGTCAGAATTTGCTATTTTAAGTTAAATGTTTAGGAATATATTTTTCAACAGAAACTATGTAAGAGACGGTACTTGGGATTTTGGCTTAACCTATAAAATTGTAAATGATTCATAAATTAGAATTACTCTCTGAGGGGCGCCTTGTTGGCTCAGTTGGTTAAGCATCTGACTCTTGAATTCGATGGGGTCATGGTCTTGCCATTGTGAGATGGAGCCCTACATCGGGCTCTATGGTGGGTATGGAGCCTGCTTAAGATTCTCTCTCTCTCTCTCTCTCTCTCTCTCTCTCTCTCCCTCCCCTCCTCTCCCTCCCTCCCTCTCCCTATCCCTCTCTCCCTCTCTCCCTCTCTCCGTCTCCCTCCCCCCCTCTCTCCCTCCTTCTCTCTCCCTCAGCCTTTCCCCCCTCCAAAAATAATACTCTGTGAAGATCTAATGCTAAAATTCCAGGTGGTCCCAGAAGTTGAGCTTCTGACTCTTGATTTCAGCTCAGGTCACGATCCCAGGTTTGTGGGATTAAGCCCCTTGTCATGCTCCAGTCTGAGTATGGAGTCTGTTTGGGATTCTCTTTCTCCCTCTGCCCCTCTCCTGCTGGGGCACACATGTTCTCTCTTTAAAATAATAATTTAAAAAAGCACAGTATGGAGTAGTATGTTTAATATACTAAAATGAAAAATATTTTAACATATGTTAATTGCACTTGGGCAAATATATATGTAGGAAAAATTCCTAGAAGTAGAATTATTTGTGCAGAAGCTATGTGCATTTATAATGTTGCTAGATTTTACTAATTATTCTCGAGAAATATTGTATCAATTTACCCCACCACCAGTGATGTATAAGAATGTTAAATTATAGGGGTGTCTGGGTGGCTTAGTCAGTTAAACATCTGACTTTGGCTTAGGTAATGATCTTATGGTTCGTGGGTTCACGTTGGGTTCTGTGCTGACAGCTCAGAGCCTGGGGTCTGCTTTGGATTCTTTCTGCCCTCTCTCTGTGTCCCTCCCCTGCTCAGCTCTGTCTTTCTCTCTCTCTCTTTCAAAAATAAACATTAAAAAAATGTTAAATTATATATCCAACTTTTTGTTCTTTGCCAATATGAGATTAAAGAATGATACCTAAGTGTTCTTTTCATTTCTATCCTTCTAAATGTTGAGATTGAATATTTTTAAATCTATTTAAAAGCCATTTCTGTGAAATACCCATATTCTTCATCAATTTTTTTTATTAGGGTATTTCTTTTCCGTTTTTATTTATAGGAATCATTTCTGTATTAAGGGAAGTTAGCCTTTTGTGATATGTGTAGCAAACCTTTTTGTTAATATACAAAAACAACAATAAATAGGTAGCTAAGTATCTCTTTTATTGGATAACACAGGCCTAGAGGTAATCTACATAATTTGTTGCTGTCCTATATTTCCTTAGAACAATGATTACCAAACGGATAGAGTGGGATATGTCTTTTTTGAAAAGCATGTTTGTTATTGTAGTTTTATATTTGGGAAACACAGAAAAAGTTTATAATATGAAATTTTAATTTATTTTTCATCAAATAAAGCTTGATGAAAATCCTCTTAGTTGGTGGGATAAGGTTAATAAAAATAATTGAAAATGTATCTAAGAATATTATTAATTTCCAAAATCATTAATTGTAAGAAATTACAAAACTGTTTTAAACTGATAGCCTCTGCATCATTCCCATTTTTTTCCGCAAGGTTACCACCAAAGAACATGATTTTGGTCTAGGGGCTCCATTTTCTGAAGCTGAAAAATACCAGAATACTCTCCAGCTAGAACAAGAAGTGAGAAATCAAGACAAATTCATCTCTGCACTGAAATTACAGGTTATATTTAATTTCTTTATTTCCCTGAATTAATTTGGGATGAAGGTCTATTTTAAAACAAGAAGATGGAGAATAAATACTAATTCAGTACTCATTGACATCTTATGGGTCTAAAATCATTCCATTTTTATTTTAACTATTTTGATACATGCAGATTCAGATACACATAATGAGTGCAAACTCTGTGATGAGTGTCGTATCCAGCGCATTTAAGTATCTAGTATTATGTAATCATTCCAACCTTGTGAAGTAGTGATGTTATTTCCATTTTACTGACATGGAAGCTGAAGTTCCAAGAGATTATAGAATTAAGATATTTGAGTAATGAGTGACAGAGCTAAGAAGGATTTGTCTGTACTTCCAGGTTAGCTAGGATTTAAAGCTAGTTCTCTATATTGTCTGTTCACCTGATGCCTGATGTGTGGTATGGCTACTAGTGAAGGCTCTTAAAAGAAACTTCCTCTTTAGGAAAATGGAGTAGACTGACTTTGTCCTATTCCTCCCACTAAGTACAACTAAAAATGCTGAGCGTTTTGTTTTAAAACAAATTTAAGGACATCCTGAAAGGTGGGAAGGAGAAGGAAGACTGGCTAGGGACCGCAGCACACAATAAGTGACACGTTAGTGAATTCCTGGGTTTTCCTTTTGCACTATATATCTCAGAGTGCTGGAAAAACTGACGTCTAGAAACAACAATGGATGCAGACATGAAAAGTTCTCAGAAGAGCCATTCTTCTAGACAAAGGACTAGGAAGGGGACAGCCTAGCAATATAGACCACTCTTTTTTCTTTCCTAGGTTTTTTTTTAATTTAAGTTTATTTATTTATTTTGAGAGAAAGTATGAGCGGGGAGGGACAGAGAGAGAGAGAGAGAAGGAATCCCAAGAGGGCTTCACACTGTCCCACAGAGCCCAATGTAGGGCTTGATTCCATGACCTTGAGATTATGACTTGAGCCGAAATCATTTGCTTGACCAACTGAATCACACAAGTGCCCCTCTGTCCTAGGTTTTTATAATTTATATACATTTTTAATTTGGAAGCAATATCAAACATATCTAAAAGTTACAATTACAGAGCAAAGACTATCCTCCCTCAGATCATTTGAGAGTAAGTTAAAGACCTGATATCCTGATCTCTCTAACATTTGAGTGGCCATTTCCTATAAATAAGAACACTCTCCTACAAGATCACAGTACAATCTAGTAAAATCAGGAAATGAATTTCAATACATCACTGCCACCTAATCCTCTGACCCCATTCAAGTTTTTGCCAATTGTCTCATAGTGTCCTCAGGTACAAAAAGATCTAGTCCAGCATTGCACATTGCATTTAGTTATCGAGTCCTTTTATCTCCTTCATTCTGGAACAGTTCCCTATTCTTCGTTGATATTCATGACCATGACACTTTAAAGAACACAGGTGAATTATTTTGTAGAATGGCCATTGCTTTGGGTTTGCCATGATCATGTTAATGAACCTTTGGCTGTATGGTAGCCAGCCTTCAAATTGGTGCCACCTCCTGTTACTCCCACTCTTATGCAGTCTTTTCACACATCGTACCATAATTGATCTTTGTGACCAAGAGCACAGAGCAGAAATGATTAAGTTAGAGTGATCTCTTGGATCATATGCTCTGAGGGAAGTAAGCATCCATGTTGTGAGTAGCCCTGTGAACAGGCCTACACGGCAAGGTACTGAATCATCTAACCAGGAACTAGTGAGAAACTGAGGCCTGCCAACTGTGTTAGGTGAGCTTAGGGATGGATTCTCCAGCCCCAGTTAGACCTTTCCATGGTGACTGTCATCCTGGCTGACTCTTTTGACCTTGTGAGGGACTTTAAACCAGAATCACCAAATTAAGCTACTCTCAGATCCCTGACCTGCAGAAACTATGACCTAATAAATGTTTGTTGGCTTAAGGCACAACATGAATACAGACAGAAATAGAACAGAAATGATGGTGGGTTCTTTTCATCGCATCCTATTAAGTAGCACACAACTTCAGTTTGTCCTGTTACTAATGATCTTTATTTGGATCTTTTGATTAAAGTGATATCTTCTGGGTTTTTCCCTGGTGAAGTTGCTTTTTTTTCTCTCTTTTAATTATTTTTTAATTTTTTTTATTGAAATGTAGTTGACATCCAGTGTTATATTAGTTACAAGTATACAGTGTAGTGATTTGACAACTCTATATATTATGCTATGCTCACCACAAGTGTAGTTGCCATCTATTATCATACAATGCTGTTATAATACCATTGACTTCATCCCCATGACTATTCATTCCAAAACTGGTAGCCTAGATCTCCCACTCCCTTTCACCCATTTTTCCATCCCTCCCCCATCATTTTGTTTTTCGTATTTATAGGTCTGTTTCTAATGCAGACTACTTTTAGACAATACCTGCCCACTCAAACACCACGAAAAACACTATCTAGCCCCACTCCTGCCAGCAAAGGCTGAGTTAAGAGCCTAGGTGTCCACTTTTGACAGGCTGTAATAAGGAGTCCTGACCATGCCTCATGTCTCACTCCCCAACCCCCTATCCCACCAGGGTGATCTCAAAGAAGAATGCTGGCTGGGGAGACTTTAGTGTCTACCAGGCAGGGAGTACCTCCCCAACCCAATAAAGTTAGCAAAGACCATTTGGGACATCTAGATATCCACCTTCACTTCACCCAGAGAAAGAAGTGTCCCTTTTTTGCTAAGGTGGTGTCAGAGGAGACCTAATGCAGAGTCAGGACTTTTGCCATCTCCTAGCAGTAACAATTCCACTCACCCACAATGGTGGTGGAGGACACATGGGAGCAGTAACAAGTTGCCTCTGTTCTTCCTCACTCTAGTGGTGTCAGCAGAGGCATGGTGGGGACCCTGAACGCCCATCCCTGCCTAGTGGTAACAAGGAGACCACTCTCTCCAGGTGTCAACAGAGTCCTTCCTAGGACTTCCACCTACACCTAGCAGTAAGAAGGTACTATCCCCCTTTTTTTAGCTGGAACTAAAGTCCCAGGAAGTGTGACAGGAAGCCTACTAAAACACAAGAGCAGATCCCAATGAAAAAATCACTTCTTGGGGCACCTGGGTGGCTCAGTTGGTTAAGCGTCTGACTCTCGATTTTGGTTCAGGTCATGACATCACAGTTTGTGATTCAAGCTCTGCGTTGGGCTCTGTGCTGACCGTGCAGAACCTGAATTCTCTCTCTCACCCTCTCTCTTTGCCTAAATAAACTTAAAAAAAAAAAAGAAATAAACCTCTTCTCTCAAGAATCAGGAGTATCTCAACCTTAGTGAGAAAAGGCAACCAAGAGATGCCAACACAAAGATGAATTAGATATTATAATTATCTCACAAAGATTTTAAATCATTTATTGTATAAATGCTTCAACAAACAATTCTGAGCATGTTTAAAACAAATAAAAAATAGAAAATCTCATCTAAGAAATAAAGGATATAAAGAAGAACCCAAGTGGAAATTTTGGAAGCAACCAAGATTGCTTGAAGATACACTTCAATTGGTGAATAGATAAATTGTGGTATATCTGTACAATGGAATATTAATCATTGATAAAAGGAAATGAGTTATCAAGCCACAAAAAGCCATGAAGGAACCTTGAAAGCAAATTGCTAGGTGAAAAAAGCCAACTGAGAAAGTTACATACTCTTATGATTCCAACTGTATGACCTTCTGAAAAAGACAAAACATAGAGACATTAGAAAGATCACTGATTGACAAGAATTTGGTGGAAAGGAGTGTGGGAAGGGTGAATGGAGCACAGGTATTTTTCAAGTAGTGAAACTGTGTGTGGGGTGGGGAGGTGTATATGGGAACTCTCTGTACTTACTGATCAGTTTTTCTGTAAGCTTAAAACCGCTCTAAAGAAAAAAATAAAGTCTATTAAAAATGCATGGGAGAAATTATATCCAAATCAGTATCTGATATGGGATTAATACTTGAGAATATACAAAGAACTCTACAACAATAAAAAACAAAACAACCCAATTCAGAAGTGATCAAAGGACTTGAATAGACATTTTTCCAAAGATCTACAAATGGCAAGAAAGCACATGAGGGGTACCTGGGTGACTCTGTTGGTTGAACATCTGATTTTGGCTCAGGTCATGATCTTGCGGTTCACGAGTTCAAGCCCCGCATCAGGCTTGCTGCTGTCAGCACAGAGCCCACTTTGGATCCAGAGACTGGTCATGTTCATGGTTTGGAGGGCTCAACATAGTAAAGACGTCAATTTTCTCCAAATTGCTATACGGATTTAATGCATTGCCATCAAAACCCCCGCAAAAACAAATTTGAAAAAAATAATAAAGTGGAAAGAGTTATTCTCTTCTGATTTCAAAACTTAGAATATGGCTACAGTAATTAAGACTGTATGGTATTACTAGGGGGATAGACACAGATCAATGATACAGAATAGAGAATCCAGAAATAGCCTTACACAAATACACCCAAAAGGTTTTTGACAGAAGCGCACATGCAGTTTGATGGAGGCAGGATAGATTTTTCAATAAAAGGTGCTGCATCAACTGGATATCTTTTAGGGAAGAAAATGAAGGTAGACCTAAACCTCACACCTTATATAAAAATTAATTCAAAATGGATCATAGATTTAAATGTAAAACACAAAACTATGAAACTTTTATAAGGTACCATTGAAAACCTTCAGGTCTTTGGGCTTGGCAAAGAGTTCTTAGATGTGACATCAAAAGCATGATTCATAAAAGAAAAATTGATAATTTAGACTTCATCAAAATTTAAATATTTTACTTTGTGAAAGAACTTGTTAACAGGATGAAAAAAACTATAAATCATATTTCTTTAAAAATTTTTTAATGTTTATTTTTGAGAGAGCAAGAGACAAAGCATGAGCATGGGAGGGGCAGAGAGAGAGAGAGAGAGATGCAGAGTCCAAAGCGGGACCCAGGCTCTGAGCTGTCAGCAAAAAGCCCGATGTAAGGCTCAAACCCATAAACTGTGAGATCATGACCTGAGCTGAAGTTGGATGCTTAACTGACTGAGCCACCCAGGTGCCCCTACAAACCATATTTCTGCCAGAAGAATCCTATATAGGATACATGAAGAATTCTTAAAACTCAGCAGTAAAAAACAATTCAATTGGAAAACAAACAAAAGACATGAAGAGGTGTTTCACAGAAGGATATATGTTGACAAGCATATATAAAGATGTTCATCCTCTCTAAATGTCAGGGAAGTGCAAATTAAGACCAAGATGAAACAACAACGCACACCTATAAGAGCAGTTAAAAATAGTGACAATGCCCAGTGCTGACAAGGATGAGGAGAAACTGAATAATCCTGGGTATTTATTCTACAGAAATGAAAACTTACATCCACTCAAAAACCTGTATATGATTGTTCATAGTAGCTTTGTTTGTCAGAGACTACAGACAACTACAATTTCCCTTAATAAGTAAATGCTGAAGCAAACTGGTAATCCAGAGAATATTACTAAGCAACAAAAAAGAATGAATGATTGATCCGTATAACTTTGATAATAAATCTCAGTGGTGTTGTGTGAAAAAGCCAATGTCAAAAGATCACATACTGTGATCTTTATCACATGTTTTTATTTATATAATGTTACTAAAAGACAAAATTATAGATTAGTGGTTGCTAAGAGTTAAGAATGGGGAGTGGAGAGGATGTGACTATAAAGGAGTATCAGGAGGGCAATCTTTGTGATGAGGGAATAATTCTGTATCTTACTGAGATGCTGACTACAGCAGTCTATACATGGGATAAAGTGGAATTGAACAACATGCACATACCGTACCAGTGTCAAATCTCTGAGTGTGATATTGTGCTATAATTGTTTAAGGTATAAGTCTTGGGGAAAGTGGGTCAAGGGTATAGGAGACCTCTGTCCTCTTTGCAACTTCCTCTGAATCTTTAGTTATTTCAAAATAAAAAGTTAAAAAATTCTTTTAATGTTTATTTATTATTGAGAGAGAGAAAGAGAGAGAGAGAGAGTGCATGCGTGAGTCGGGGAAGGGCAGAGAGAGAGGGAGAGACAGAATCTGAAGCAAGCTCTAGGCTCTGAGCTGTCAGCACAGAGCCTGACGCAGGGCTCAAACCCACGAACTATAGATCATGACCTCTGCCAAAGTCAGATGCTTAACCTACTGAGCCACCCAGCTGCCCCCCAAAAGTTTTTTTTTAAAGTTACTTTTTGAGTACCTATTATCTGCCAGAAATTTTACCTGAAGTTTTATACCTGACTACACCCTGAAAATTGTAGGTATTCTCTCCATTTAGCAGATGAAAGTCAAGAGGCTTCCATTTATTTTTTCTGAAGTCAGATGCATCTCTTAGGATCAATAAAATATGGTAAATTGCTCAGGGTTAAGTAGCTGATAAAGAACTACAATAGGATTCGAACCTTTCTGCCTAATTCCAAAGCCTATAGCCTTTCTGCTACTCTTCTAAGTACTTGTCTTGGAATTGAGTAAAAGTAGGGCTTGATGTTAGACATGAGAGGAGTGAGTGTTTACTTTTTTATAATTCATTTTATTCATTCGTTTAAACATAATTTGAGCATTATATGGTGTATGATTATATGCTATATAATTATATGCTACATATAATAAATGATAAAGCAATGAGAGGTGTGTTGATATAGAAGCTAGAGACATCACTTAAAAAATTTCTTTAATGTTTATTTATGAGAGTGGGAGGGGCAGAGAGAGAGGGAGACAGGAAGCTGAAGCAGGCTCCAAGCCCTGAGCTGTCAACACAGAGCCTGACTCGGGGCTTAAACTCAGAAACCACAAGATCATGACCTGAGTCAAAGTCAGACACTTAACCAACTGAGCCACCCAGGCTCCCCTAGAATAGAGACAGTCACTTTAGAGTTGCTTAGAATTTAGTGGAAGGGACAGGGAAGTAAACGCCTAATATATGTTATAAAATACTAAGATTAAACTATGTAAGAGTCTTTATGAAGCACAGAGGGAGAAGCATTAACCTGGTACAGTGGAAGGTCAGCAAACATTTTTAGCATGCTCTTATTGCTCAGAAATAGGGCATTGTAGAAGCCAGGAACAAAGACAAAAATATATATAGATAGATAAATTGAAGTTTATCTGTTTGTTTATCCCACATCCTATAGTTTTGTTTTTTGTTTTTTAATTTGAGAGAGAGATAGGGCAGGAGAGGGGCAGAGAGAGAGAGAGAATCCCAGGCAGGCTCCTCACTGATAGTGCAGAGCTTGACTCCAGGGCCTGAATCCACAAACTGTGAGATCATGACCTGAGCCAAAGTCAGATGCTTAACTGACTGAACCACTCAGATGTTCCTACAACATACATTTAAAAAGCAAGCAGGGGCACCTGGGTGGCTCAGTTGGTTAAGTGTCTGACTTTGGCTCAGGTCATGACCTCACAACTTGTAAGTTAGAGCCCCACATTGGGCTCTGTGCTGACAGTTCAGGGCCTGGAGCCTACTTCCGATTCTGGGTCTCTCTCTTTCTCTGCCCCTCCCCCACCTATACTCTGTCTCTCAAAAATGAATAAACGTTAAAAAAAATTAAAAAATAAACAATACAAGTAATGAAAATAGCTTAGTTACCTAAGAACTAGTTAGCTAAGAACAAGGGAAAATAACCTTAGTGAAAGCATGGGACAAGAACAGCAAACAGGAAATCATTGTACACGGGTTCTATGCTAGTTACTAGAGATGGGTTGCAGATTGGCTTTAAAATTCCTTGAGGTAAGGGCAAAAGAAATTTTAGTTAAATAATTCAGTGTCCCGAGGGTAAAGAAAAACCAGGTATCCGAAACGATCACGTTTTCCTGAAATTGAGACTTGAGCCAACTTTTCCTTGAGGATTGTTATAAGAGGGTTGTGGGACACAGTGTATAACGTCTTCAGTAACTTCCTTAGTAAAGTTTTTGAAATAAGTCTAGCATGCTGGAGCTGACTGGACAGGTCGGTAGGGTTGGCATCACAAATAACATTTTACAAATGTTATTCTCAGTGTGATAAAACACTATAAGGTTACAGGAGTTCCCTCCAATCTGCACTTTCAAAGAATTTTTGCTGTATATGGTACAAGGCCAAAAGAGAAGAGAGTAGGAGGTATTGCTAAAATTCAGGCCAGTTGTAATAAAAGACTCAACTAAGAAAATAAGTGCATATACAGTTCCCATTTTTTTTTAATTCTTCCAACTTTTTCTTGTTTCCTGGATTTGATAATTTAAACTCTTTACTTCTAAATCTCTCAAGTTAATGTGTCTTACTTGATGCTAAAGTCAGAGTTGGATTTATTGTGCTTCTTGGTATGTATTATACGGAGTATAATAAGCGTCATGGTAGTATATTTAGCTAAATATAATTCATGACCTTCAGGGCATTTCTTTATGTAGTGACAAAGTAGAGATGAAGTTTGTATTTAAAAAAAAAAATTTTTTTTTTAATGTTTTATTTATTTCTGAGAGAGAGACACACAGTGTGAGCAGGGGTGGGTCAGAGAGAGAGGGAGATACAGGATCTGAAGCAGGCTCCAGGCTCTGAGCTAGCTGTCAGCACAGAGCCCGTCGCGGGACTTGAACCCACAGACAGTGAGATCATGACCTGAGCCGAAGTCAGACGCTTAACCGACTGAGCCACCCAGGTGCCACTGAAGTTTGTATTTTTAAAGAAAACTTTGTTGCTTCTGATGATTTGAAGAGAGCTATCTCTATAGTTATTTGAAAAGGGCAAGGTTGGAAGTTAGAACTAACTTCGGATTGAGATTGAGATTGAGGGATTTAGCAATTTTCGATGCTCCTCACAGACTGAGTCAGTTTTTCTTTCTGTGTTTTTACATTTTTTATGGGTACCAACGCAGTGCCATGAATATAATAGGTGCTCGGTAAATGTTTGTTAAGTACACAGTGAGAGGCAATATGTAACAGGACGTTTGTGCCACTCTTTATAGATATTTCTGTAACAGCACTTAACATATTCTTTTTGTGTTTTCTCAAGTAAACAAATTCCGTGAGGGCAGGTACCTAACCTATTTTTGTCTATGGGATTTAACATTGTTCCTGACATATAATCGTGTTCAATAGGTCTAATATATTTCTTTTCCTTTAAAGGCATTTGGATACCTTCATGATAGAAAAGGCCCTTTTCTTCATCCGTTGATGGTTTGATAGTGGGCTGGGAAGGAAAGCTGTGGTCCTCCACATTAGTCAGCAAATACTTGATTGATTTGGTATTTAGCTTAGTCAAGTAAGTTACTGATATGTTCAAAAGAACTTTTTTTGAAGAGTTAACATGTTTTGGTAACAGTAATTAGAAATAAAATTCTCAAGGACACCTAATTAATGATATTAGTTATTAAAATTAAATGATTTCAAGACTGTGGTTTCTTTTATACAGGTGTAAATATTTGGCCAGTCTTCTAATTGTTTGGTTAAGAAATCAATAGTATGAAGTTTTTTATTAACCATAAATTATCTTGTAAGATGTAGCTACAAACCTTTAAATTTTCATTTAATATATTTTTTCAGATATTATATTCATATGGTACAAAATTCAGAAATTGAAAAAAATATATGTAGCTAAGTCTCCTTCTAGGGAAGCAAACCTCCCTTCTTGATTCCATTCACCTAGTTTTTCTCCTCAGAGGGAAGCAAAGGAAATATTTTAATATGATCATTTTCTTTCTAATTACAACAGATTGAAGATCTCAGACAGACAAATCATGGCTTGGAAGAATATGTTAGGAAACTCTTGGATAGTAAGGAGGTGGTAAGCAGTCAAGTAGACGATTTAACCAGCCACAATGAGCATCTTTGTAAAGAATTGATTAAAATTGACCAACTAGCAGAGCAACTAGAAAAAGAAAAAAATTTTGTGGTGGATACCGCCGACAAAGAACTTGAAGAAGCAAAGGTATTACATCTATCATTGATAGGATTTTTTATTGAGTTATAACTGGTAGATATAGCATTATATTAGCTCTAGGCGTATAACATAATGATTCACTATTTGTACATATTGTGCAATAATCACTACAGTAATTCTAGTTAGCATCTGACTACCGATCAGGATTCCTCTTTAAATATCACATAATTATTAAATGCAATGTGGAAAAAGTGACATTCTCATATCATTTGAAAGTTTTTTAGATTTGACGTTACATTTAAATGTCTATTCTAAGGATTAAATTGTATTGCACATTTTATTTCTTTTAAAAATCCTTGCTCAAAAATTTCCCAAGTAATTGTAGTCATGGTAAAAACTCAAGGCAATAGTTTTTTTTAATTTTTTTTAATTTTTTAATTAAATTAAATTTAATTAAGTTAAATGTTTTTAATTTTTAATTTTGAAAGAGAGAGTACAAGTAGGGGAGGGGCAGAGAGAGAAAAAGAGAGAGAGAGAATCCCAAGCGGACTCTGCACTGTCAGTGTAGAGCCGTATGCAGGGCTTAATCTCACCAACTCTGAGATCATGACCAGAGCCATAATCAAGAGCCAAATGCTCAATTGACTTAGTTATCAGGCGCCCCAGGAATGTTCTGTATAGGACATTGCTCTCCCTTCCTAATCCTTCTCTATTCTGCAGAGAGATCTACCAACAAATAGATGATACACATATTTCCATCCTTTTCTTTCTGTTTTCACACACACAATTTATTTCACACTTTGAAGAATTTTTTAAGCCAAGGTTTTACATTTCTGTGTAGTAAAATTAATCAGTCTTTACTGACTTCTGAGTTTTGATTCTTTTATTTTTTGGAGGCTCTCCCCCTTTATAAAAATTTGAATAGACTTTATTTTAGAGCAGTTTTGGGCTTATAGTATAATTAAGCAGAAGGTACAGAGATTTCTCATATACATCCTATCCCTATGTATGGACAGTTTCCCTGTTACCAACATTACCAATCAAAATGGTACATTTGTTAAAATTGCTAAACCTACATTGACTCATCATTATCACCTAGAGTCCATAGTTTACATCTGGTTCACCCTTGGTGTTGTACATTCTAAGAATTTGTACAAATGTACAATGACATTTATCTACCATTATAGTATCATGCATAGTAATTTCACTGCCCTGAAAATTCTCTGTTCTCCACTTAGTTTTCATTCCTGTTTAGGAAGATCTTCAAGAACTATAAGAATATTTTCTACAGTTTTTTTTAATACTTTCTAATATTTTTTTAAAAGTTTTAATCCTTCCAAGGGTGCCTGGGTGGCTCATTTGGTTAAGCATGCGACTTCAGCTCAGATCATGAACTCAGGTTTTGTGAGTTTGAGCCCTGCATCGGGCTCTCTCCTGTCAATGTGGATCCTGCTTGGGATTCTCCCCTCTCTCCCTCTCTCTCTCCCTCCCATTTTCTCTGTCTCTCTCAAAATAAATAAACATAGATGAAGGAAGGAAGTTTTGATTCTTCTGGAATTTTTGTTCTAGTATGAGGAAGTATTGGATAATCCTTTGTTTAGTTACTGATTTGAAATGGCATTTTATTTTATGTATTTATTTTTTTTAAATATTTTTATTTATTTCTAGGAGAGAGAGAGAGAGAGAGAGAGACAGCATGAGCAGGGGAGGGTCAGAGAGGGAGACACAGACTCTGAAACAGGCTCTAGGCTCTGATCTGGCAGTCAGCACAGAGCCCGACGCGGGGCTTGAACCCACGAACCGCGAGATCATGACCTAAGCGAAAGTTGGTCGCTTAACCGACTAAGCCACCCAGGTGCCCCTTGAAATGGCATTTTAATAGCTACTAAATTCTCATGTGCATGGGTATGTTTTTGGATTGTTTTATTTCATGGATTCATTTGCTATTTTCTGTGCCACTACCACATTATTTTAATTAGTGTAGCTTTATCATATTTTGATAAACATTTTATTTCTTGATTGAGTTTAGTATCCTACCATGAAATTTAGAAACTAGGAACTTAAACACAATTCTAAAAATGAAGACAGTTTCCTTTCTCATTGCTGCCTAATGGCTTATAAGCACGATACAGTATATTTGAAAGCCCAAAAGCAACCTATTGAGTTTTTAAAGGTCTGAATGTGCTCCATTATCTTGGTTTTGTTAATTACCACATTAGTAAATTGTCTGTAATAAGGTAGTTTCCTAAAGCTCATTGTTGTCCCATGTTTTTTTTTTTAATTAAAAAAAATTTTTTTAAATGTGTATTTATATTTGAGAGAGACACACATACACACACAGAATTGGAAATAGGATCCAGGCTCTGAATCATCAGCACAGAGCCCACTGTGGGGCTCGAACCCACAAACCATGAGATCATGACCTCAGCGGAAGCTGGATGCTTAACTGACTGAGTCACCCAGGCACCCTTCTTTTTTTTTTTTTTAAGTTGTCATGTCTACTGTTTTTTTTTTTTTTTTTTTTTTGAGAGAGAGAGAAAGTGGGGAAAGGGAAAAGGTAGAGAGCGCGAGAGAGAATCTTAAGCAGACTACACTCCCAGCATGGAGCCCAACACAGGGCTCCATCTCATGAACTATGAGATCACAACCTGAGCCAAAATCGAGTTGGATGCTTAACCAGCTGAGCCACCCAGGTGCCCCTGTTCCATGTTATTTCTTATACATCCTTTTAATGTACTCTTGCTAGCACATAATAAAGCATATTATATGTTATTCTTGGTAGCATATGATAAGTACTTAAATGATCAGGCTGAGAACATACGTGTTATTAAAGGCATTATCTTTTATAGTAATTTGGAATATAAGAGTCTAGGGCATAAACTCTAAGATAGTATTTGTTTATATGCAGTAATTTTGCTTATTGAAATGGTGTAAAGGATAAGTAAGCTTGAATTAATGAATAATCTGTGTAATTTAATATTGAAATATATGAAGTTTCTTACTTTAATGTAAGGACACAGTCTTCTTTAACAGTTACCTGGAAGAGGTCCTTAGGAGAACTATTTGAGAGGGTAGATAAGAATGATTTTTTTAAAATTGCGAGTTAATCTTGTAATGGTTGCTACTAAAGTATTTGAGGGTCATTTAAAAGTAGCTTGAATATTTTAAACATTTCTCAATAAACTCTTGTTTGTATTGTTTTTAAAGAATAGTTGTCCTTTATTGACAGTCTATGATAAATTAGGTACAGTCTTAATAATAAAAATTATCAAATTAAAGAACACTAGATTAATGTTTTATTTTCTTCCTTGTTTTCTTCTTCAAATTAGAAATTAACTGCACTGCTTCCCAGTCTGGGAGGTCTAGTTGGCCAAATTCCCTTGAAGAGAGTGCCCAGTTTAGAAGTCATCAATTTTGCTTTGTTTTATTTATTAAAAAAAATTTTTTTTTTTTTTTGAGAAAGACAGATGGAGCATGAGCGGGGGAGGGGCAGAGAGAGAGGGAGACACAGAATCCAAAGCAGGCTCCAGGCTCTGAGCTACCAGCACAGAGCCCAGTGAGGGGCTTGAACTCACGAACCGTGAGATCATGACTTGAGCGGAAGTCGGATGCTTAACCGACTGAGCCACCCCGGTGCCCCAAAAGTCATCAATTTTAAAGGATTGTTAGTGTCTATGTTAGAGAGCAAGTACTCTGTCAAGGTGGATCCTCTCCTATCAAAAGGGAAAATTTAATCAATGGGAAACATCTAAAATAAAAGAGCTAGGATTTACCTAAAACTGAAAATATTAAACCCACAGATGGAAATTCTGCCTGGCTCAGAAAAGAGTGTTTTTAGGAAATAGATATTTATATATTGATGTGGAACATTTGGTATATCTAAGAATTGGAAAGCTAGAGTTGATATAGCATTGCTGATGCAGGAAAGACATTGAATAGTAAATGCAGAGAGGGGATAAATAGAAATAGGTCCTTTGGGTTGTTTAAATGTGTTGAGATGAAACCATCAACCTCAATAAGTGAATGTTACATACAGGTAGAATGGGGGGGTATAAGAAAGATGTACAACCAGTGTTGGAGATATGAACACTAATGCATGTTGTCATCATCCTTAAATCGTGGGATGTGCGGTCTAGGTATTCAATTACTGGGGAAAGAATCCTTGTCTGATTTGTGGGATGAGGAGTGAAACAAGAGAATTTCTAATTTGAGAACTGAGAAAGAATATTTGTGTTCCCACACTATTTGGGGTTATGCTCTAGTAAAGTAGAGTCAGGTTAAATCTGTTTATCTAGAATGGAGATACATAGTATTAAGTTTATTTACTTGGAAGAGTTTACTTTTAGTCATATTTTTAAAGGCCAACAGAATAATTTCTTCCATCATTTATTACCTTAAAATGTTTTGAATATTTACTATTTTATTATCTATTATTATGTAACAAAAAGGCAATTTCAATTCTTCATCCCTTCCCTGCATGCTTAGTTCTCCTCTTCCTCCCTGCTTTATTTTTCTCCACATCATTGTTTAGCTACTTTCTGCTATCTACACTCTACTCCAGCCACACTAACCTCCTTACTATTCCTTGGAATTTAGCACACATTCTTTTGCCTTAGGACATTTGATATAGCTATATCTTCTGCCTGGAATGTTGTTCCACATTTTTATATGGTTGACTCCCCTTCTCTTTGCTCAGAAGTCACCTTTCAATGAGGACTTATGTAATAACCCTATTAAAATTCCAAACTATTCCTTCAGAAAACTCTCAGTATAGTTAACACTGCTCTTTTTTCCCCTTATATTACTACATAAGTTATTTGTTAGGTTTATGTTTTATTGTCTTCTAGGTTGGAATGTAAGGTCACCCCAGAGACAGAGAGCTTTGTGTATTTTTTTAACTTTTTGTCTCAAGTGCCTAGAACAGATGTAAATGCTCATGTATTTTTTTTAATAACAGAGTAACTTTCTGATATATATTTTACCTAATTTGTTTTTCTCTTTTCAACTAGAATGTAAGTTCCTTGAGGGCAGAGTTTTTTGTCTATTTTATTTTATTGCTATCCCCAACATGTAACACATTGTCAGCCACATGGTAGGTCCTCATTAATCAATTGTCAAATAAATGAAAACACTGAGTTAGCATCTTTTCACTTGGGCCAGTTATAATTTTGGTTTTTTTCCCTGATGATTTTATTTTTAAATAATCTCTATGCCCAACGTGGAACTCAAACTTAAAACCCCAACATCAAGAGTCGCATGTTCTGTCGATGGAGCCAGCCAGGTGCCCCTAATTTTGTTTTTCAGAGTGGAATCAGCATTATGTTTTTTATGTCTGTAAAAGTAATACATGCTTCTTATAAAAATTTCAGTCCATATAGAAGAGTATAATGAAGAAAATAACAATTTACTGTAATCACACCTTGCTATGATTAGACAAAATCTTCAGTTTACATATTACTGGCTATGTTCCATCTGTATCTAGGATATGTGTATATACATTTTCTTTTTATAACAAACAAAATTTTTGGCTGTGTGAGTTTTTTTATACCTAATTTAATATGAACACCTTTATACATAATATAGATACATTTCTTTTTGGGGTGTACATAATACTATAAACTAAAGCAGTGAAAATTGTCTATCCAAAACTAAATAAACTTATCCAAACTGTACATAAATTTTGTTTCATACCATAGTACCCCTTAATATATCATAAATTACAAAAATATAATTGCCAAAGAAATCTTAGAAAAGAACTTGGGCCTAAAGAAAAATGAGAAATAATAATTCCAGAAAAGGCACATTTAAAACAAAAGAGGAAACAGTTTAGAATAATGAGGGGGAGGTTTATGAATAGAGAAATAAATTTGTTATACTAATAAACCAATTTATAGCATATAGATCATAGCAAATGGATCTTTGAATAAAAACATAGTCACTGTCCTCTAGAAACATACAGTCTAGTCATATACTCAATATATGATTATAGATAACTATACTATAAGACTGAGTATGTTCTATGTCCTAAAACTGATACCAAAAGTATTTTATGGGTGATCTTGATTGAACTAAACTATCAAAAGAATTCAGAAGAGAAAGTAATCATTTAGACTTTGGTGAAATGGGAAAACTTTTATGCTGCTAATTCTTTTATCTCTTCCCTATTATCATCTTCAGAATTATAAGTAGTATTAATATTTTGTTGCGGTTTGTAGGGAGTGATTTGGTAAAATATAACCAATTAATATTTCATACCAAACTGGATAATCTAAAAGAACTGCTATATTTCATTCTATGTTCTTTTACCATCTAAAGGTAGGTGAACAGAAAGAGGTAGATAATCTTTTAGCTTGTAAAATATTCATTACATGTTTTTGTTTTTAAGTGGCTTCCTTTTTAAAAATTAAAAAAAATTTTTTTGTCATGGTAAGTGTACTCTTTAATTCCCATCCCCTTTTTCACCCATCCCCTACTCACTTCCCCTCTGCTAACATCAGTTTGTTTTCTGTGGTTTCTGTTCTTGGTTTATCTCTTTCTTTCTTTTTTTCTTCCCTTTGTTCATTTTTTTGTTTCTTAAATTCCACACATGAGTTGAGATCATGTGGTATTTATCTTTCTCTGACTGGTTTCACTTAGCATTATACACTTTAGCTCCATCCATGTTGTTGCAAATGGCAAGATTTCATTTTTTATGGCTGAATAATATTCCTGTGTGTGTGTGTGTGTGTGTGTGTGTGTGTACGTGTACAACACATCTTTAATCCATTCATCTATTGATGGACACTTGGGCTGCTTTCATCATTTGGCTATTGTAGATAATGCTGCAAGAAACATAGGGGTGCATGTATCCCTTTGAATTAGTGTTTTTATATTTTTGGGGTAAATGCCCAGAAGTGCAATTATTGGATTCTAACGTAGTTCTATTTTTAATTTTTGGGGGGAATTTTCATGTTTGCCACAGTGGCTACATCAGTTTGCATTCCCATCAACAGTACAAGAGGGTTTCTTTTGCTCCACATTCTCACAACGCCTGTAGCTTCCCTTTTTGATGTTCTCTTTTTAGTTAAATCTGTGTAAATATTTTTAATCTAAATAACAATTTTTTTCTGGCTTTTCAGATTGAACTCATTTGCCAGCAAAATAATATAGTAGTATTGGAAGATACAATAAAAAGACTTAGATCTGTAAGTGCATTTTTTATAAATGTATATTGAGGAATCATTTTTATTCTATTAGTAAGACTACAGAAAATGGTACATGTGATTTAGCTCTCATGCATTTTGTGAACAATAAAAAATATCTGTTTTCTAAACTTAGTACTCTGCTTGATGCACAGGGGCACTTCCTATCTGTAAAAGTATTGCTTTTCTTGCTCCATTTCATCACTACGCCTTTCTTTCCTAGAGGCGGGGAGAACTTTTGGTTGGTTTTATTAGTGCCCTTAGCCTTACTTGATTTAAAATGATGACTGTAATTTCATTCTCAAAATATAAGATGCATTGGTTTACACATTAACTTTTATTCCTGTTAGTAATAAATATTAAGTAGAATATTATAACTTAATTCTGAGTAATATGTTTTCTTTATCTAACAATGCAAAGTGAACACTGCTCTGTTGAGGCAGTTTAATGTTATCATTTAAAATATTTAAAACACCCTCTCTGAAAGTATATCTGGAATTTTCTCCCAATAAAGTATTAGGAAAATAAAGATTGTGAAAAACAAAAGCTTCTGAATACATTAATGTGAATGGGAATGTACTTGAAAGTGCCTACAAGTATAACATATACAGCATTCATTTGATTTATTCATTCATTGAAAAATTATTAAACAAAACTTAGATGCTGTGAACAGATGCTTTAATATTAGCATACAAGGTTTCTCTGCAAATTAATTCAATTTCTAGGACTTATAATTAGATCTGTAGATATTTCTGGACTTTCCAATATTTCTTTTTTCTTAAAATTATTGAATAAATTTAGGGGTGCTTTCAGTTAAATAAAAATACAGTAAATTCAGAAATGTTAGAAAAAGGAGATACCTAACTGCTTTTCAAAGAGTATTGATGAATTCTCTTTAAAATACCAAATTTATTATTTTTAAAGATCCTGTTTATTCAACTTTCATTTAGAAAATGATACTATAGTTTAGCTTGAAATAATGACCTAATTTTTTCCTCCTTGGCAAGATAATTTTAGAGACTGAAAAAGCACAAAATAAATCTCCTTCCAGACTCGATTCCTTTGTCAAGACTTTAGAAGCAGACAGAGATTATTACAAGAGTGAAGCTCAAAATTTGAGAAAAATGATCAGAAGTAGATCTAAAAGTCCAAGACGCCCGTCTCCATCTTCCCGGGTAGGTTTTAGAAACTTCTGTGTTTTGGAGTTCATTTTTTGAACACTGATTTTTATTCTTTGACTTATTTAATATGGAAGTAATTCATTTTGATTTGGTATGAATTTGTATATCAAAGAATTGGAGAGACAGCAGTCTCTTTGATACCATAGTGGACCACTGAAATTGGTTCTTTATCCCCAGTATTAGTAGTAGTGGGGAGGTAATCAGATAAATATGGACCAATTCGGGATGAAGCTATTTAAAAGAGAAGTGATGTTTTAAACTCTTTTTTTTTTTTTTTTTATCATTTTCTTTCATTATATAGTCATTTTTGCTTGAGTAGAGGTCATGTACTGCTATTAGTGGCACCATTTTCTTTTCTTTTTTTTTTTTTTTTAAATATTTTTATTTATGTCTAGGAGAGAGAGAGAGACAGCGTGAGCAGGGGAGGGTAAGAGAGAGAGGGAGATACAGACTCCGAAATAGGCTCCAGGCTCTGAGCTGGCAGTCAGCACAGAGCCCGACGCGGGGCTCGAACCCATGAACCGCAAGATCATGACCCAAGCGAAAGTCAGACGCTTAACCAACAAGGCACCCAGGCCCCCCTAGGGGCACCATTTTCTTAAAAGCACATGTCAAAGAAGAATTTCCAATTTCTCGTTTAATAATCATAGGGTACAAACTGTGATGTAGAGCTTTTGAAGACAACAAGAGACCGTGAAGAACTTAAATGCATGCTGGAAAAATATGAGCGTCATCTGGCAGAAATTCAGGGTAATGTCAAGGTTCTTACATCTGAGAGAGACAAGACCTTTCTTCTTTATGAGCAGGTAAACTTATTTTCAAATAAAATACCTAAGTAAAAATATTCAGTTCTAAAGGTATGTTATTTTTTAAGTTCTAGAAGAATGCTTAAATCTGCCAATCAAATTAATCAACTAACATCTGGGAATTACCTTCATTCTTAAGATATTCTTAATGAAATGTAATGTATTTCTAATCCAATAAGTGTATATGTACATACACACACGCACACACATTACCCCCATATCCAAAAAAGATCATATGCATGCATAGAAATAGTCTGATTTTTGGCATGGGAAATGAGGAAAGTGTTAAATGATAGGGAATGGGGAGTTCAAGGTAAAAGGATTTTGATTTCAGGGTTAGAAAATGCTGACATCACTTGATGTACTGTCAGTCATTTTAGGAACTACTTAATCTAGGAGAGTAAGATCAGTTTGTAGTTTATCTCTATTTGTAGCTTAAGGTTATATTTATATAGTTGTTATTAATTATATAGGACAAATATTTACTCAACAAATATTAAACCCCGTAAATCACCAACATAATTTTCTTTTAAAAATACCAAATTTTATTAAGAATTATAGCTTGCCACTCTAAGAAAAAAAGATAAAATATGAACACTGTTTTCTATGTTTGCAATCTGGAGAGATAAAGTATATTGTTTTGTATTTGCTTTTTGTTACTTTAGCATAAGTGGCCCAGAAGATATTGTAAGAAATAAAAGAAATGGGTATTTTTTAGTTGTTGTGATCAAGGAAATCTTTACTAGAAGATATGGAATTTGAATCCTGAAGGAAGAATGGAGTTTAAGTTTATTATCTTGAAAGGGGTAAGAAGGAACATTCTAGACTAAAGGAATGGTGTGAGGCAAAGGACAAATGCAGAAAAATCAGTAGATAAATGGATTAATGTAAGACTAATTTAAGACTAATCTGTGCCATTGGAGTAAGGAAGAGCTAAGGCTTGAGAGGTAAATTGGACTAGAGCAGGGGTCTGCAAACCTTTTCTGTACAGGCCCAGAAAGTAAATATCTTGGGCTCTGCATGCCGTGCAATTTGTCAAAAGTATTGAACTCTGTTATAGTGTGAAAGTAGGTTTAGACAATCTACAAGTTTTTGCTGTGTTATAACTTTACTTTTGGACACAGAAATTGAATATCATATTATTTTTATCTATTACACATATTTTGAAATCTTTTTTTTTTTTTTTAAATGTTTTATTTATTTCTAGGAGAGAGAGGCAGCGTGAGCAGGGGAGGGTCAGAGAGAGAGGGAGACACAGACTCTGAAACAGGCTCCAGGCTCTGAGCTGGNAGAGGGAGACACAGACTCTGAAACAGGCTCCAGGCTCTGAGCTGGCAGTCAGCACAGAGCCCGATGCGGGGCTCGAACCCACGAACCGCGAGATCATGACCTAAGCGAAAGTCGGATGCTTAACCGAATAAGCCACCCAGGCGCCCCAGCTTCTTTTGTTTTTTAAAAATCATTTGAAAATGTAAAAAACATTTTCAGCTTATAGACCTACAAAAAACAAGAGGCAGGCAAGATTTGGCCTGTGAGCTCTATGTGGTTTGCCAACTTCTGGAGTACATGGTAGAGGCAGTTCAATGGGTCTTATTAAGGGTTTATACTTTGCTTTATAAGCACTGGCAATCTGGTTATTTTTAGAGCAGAAGAAATGACCAAAGACACATTTTTACAGTTTTAACCTGTTAACAATTTTATATTATCTTTTTCATAATCTTTCTGTTATCTTTTCATATAACAGTTTCTCTTTCAAGAAAATTGAAGGAAGGAGAAACTGTGGACTCTTTAGAAAGCTGTGAAAACAGGCATTAAGAACTAATCTGGGCAGGTGGTAGGGAGTGGGAGGTACAGTGCCTCCGTGGCTTAGTTGGTTAAGTGGCCAGCTCTTGGTTTCAGCTCAGGTTATGATCTCACAGTTAATGAGTTCAAGCCCCGTGCTGGGCTCTGTGCTGACAGTGCAGAGCCTGCTTGGGATTTTCCGTCTCCCTCTTTCTCTGCCCCTCCCTGCTCAAGCTCTCTGTCTCTCTCAAAATAAATAAACTTAAAAAAAAAAAAAAAACCAACTAAGATAGGGTACTATCTGTGGAAATAAGGATAGAGACAAGTGTAAAAGACACTGTAAAGGAAGCCTTGACAAGATTTGGTTTTAGCAAAAAGGGATGAATGGAACTGACTGAATTTAATTTTTTTTAATGTGTATTATCTTTACTTTTGAGAGAGAGAGACACACACACAGAGAGAGTGCAAGTGGAAGAGGGATAGAGAGAGAGGGAGACACAGAATCCGAAGCAAGTTCCAAGCCCTGAGCTGTGAGATCATGACCCGAGCTGAAGTCAGACACTTAACCGACTGAGCCATCCAGGCACCCCAAGACTGAAATTCTTTTTTGAATGACAGAATTGTGGTAGTAGAAAAAGAAATACTAAAGCCATTGGTGACTTGAGGGAAAAAATGTGTTGGTTTCAGACAGATGGAGTAAGATGATGGTTGTACATTCAGAAAGTAATTGCATTCAGGCAGAAAGAAATGTGGGACTGGAGTGAGGAGAGAGGAAAGAGCTGAAATGTGTAGATGGGGAATTCATCTGCTTAAGGTAAGTTCTGGGCCTTCAGAGTGGATGAGGTCTGAATGAGAAAACTATCGAGGAACAGAGAAGTCAAGATGTTATGTTGGGACATTTTATTCAATTGGTATAGGAGCTTTGAAAGAGATAAAGAAGACAGAAGACTAAGGTAGAGCAATATTAAGCCCAAGAGAGGAAAGAATCTCAAAGAGGGTGTTAAAGACAATGTCAAATGTTGCCAAATATCAAAAACAGCTGAGAAAAGGTCATTTAGTGAGGTCATTAGTTGAAATTCTGCAAAATGGTAGTTATAAGAGCCAGGTTACACTGGGATGGGAGAATAGGTGCTGAGGGACAGGTAATGGGTACAGACCATGGTGCTTAAAAATTATGTCAGTGCAAAAGAGATATAGGGTGGTAACTGGGGCAGCAAGGCTTAGTGACAGGTTTTCAAGATATGGGAGCCTTGAGCCAAGGTTGAAGGCAGGCAAGAAAGAGCCAGTGGAGAGGGTGCTATTCAGAGTGAGAGGAAATAATTATATAGTTGAGTCTTCAACAAGGCAGTGCAGGGGTGTTAACCCTCCTGCACAGTTGCTTTTGACTTCCCCAAAACTTAATTACTAATAACCTACTGTTGACCAGAAGCTTTATCAATAACAAAGTCAATTAACACATTTCTCATATTTGTATATATAAATGTGTATACATATTATGTGTACATATATACACATTTATGTACATATATGTGTGCACACGCAGTGTTATTAAGAAAATCATGAGAAAATACATTTATAGTACTATACTGTATTTATTGAAAAAAATCTGTGTATAAGTGAACCTTTGTATAAATTTAAACCCATGTTGTTCATGGGTCAACTCTTATTGAGTCAGGAGTATCTTAGAAGACATTTCAGGAGATGAGATCCAGGATTCTGGTGAAGGCTTAGCTGTGGAAATTGGTAGGTAATACATCTTCCTCTGAGACTTGGGAGACCAGCTGAGTAGTTAGTGATCAAATCAAGAGGAAGGAAGATTAGGGAGTTAAGCAATGAAGTAGGAGATGTAATTATCTTTAGGTGTGGAATAGGTTTGGGACCTGAGGATGGTTGAACAAGTGTGAGAGAATATATTGGGTTGTTGATAAGGATTGATGGGCCTTCCTTTCAGGGTAAAAGTAGCCAGAACATGGAAATGGCTTATATGTTTTTGTAGAGAAAGACAGAAATACTAATATTTATTAAAATTGTATTCTACCTGGGGGTGCCTGGGTGGCTCAGTTGGTTAAGCATCTGACTTTTGATTTCGGCTCAGGTCATGATCTCATAATCATGAGATCAAGCCTAGCATCAGGTTTTCCTCTGGGTGTAGAGCCTGCTTGACGAGCTTCCTCTCTCTCTTCCCCTTTCCCCCAAAACAAAAACAAAAACAACTGTATTCTACCTGAATTTTGCTGAATTCAAATGTATATCACAAAATGGATATAGTGATACATATCTATTTCTTAGTAAAACATTCTCTCTTGCATTGACTGCCTAAGTTAATTTAAATTTTTATAAAAATATTATAAACCAAACTTCTGTGTTTATACAGTTACTTGCATTTTTATACATCATTTGCATTTATTTGTGTAAATTCATTAAAAAGCATTATCCTATTGTATACATTTTTATATATGTTTTTTATTCAAACTAGCTGGACATAAGATAGCTATATTTATGTCTGTTCTAAAGTGTTGTTAAATAGAAGTCTTGCATTTAAATAATAGGCACAGGAAGAAATTGCCAGACTTCGACGAGAGATGATGAAAAACTGTAAGTCTCCTAAATCAACAACAGCCCATGCCATCCTCCGGCGAGTGGAGACTGAAAGAGATGTGGCCTTCACTGATTTACGAAGAATGACCACAGAACGAGATAGTCTGAGGGAAAGGCTAAAGGTTTGGATGAATTTTATCTGTATGACCATTTGTGAAACACAGTGCAGCAACATTGAAAACTTTTTTTTTTTTTTTAACAGATTGCCCAAGAGACAGCATTTAATGAGAAGGCTCACTTGGAACAAAGGATAGAGGAGCTGGAGTGTACAGTTCATAACGTAAAGAAAAACCACTTTTGTGCTTTTGGCTATAAACTGTCAGTGGCTTCCCCCTTTCTCTTTTTCCCTGTGTTCAGAGAGGTTCTTTTATTTTTCTAAGAGAGTGTAATCCTAAAATATTTAAGGTGGTATGTATAGTATAAATTATCACTTTTTCATTGTTTATTTCCTTCCAAAAAATGTAAGTAAAGTCTTTTTTGTGTTAGGTTGCAAAGTATGTTCTTTAAAAAAAAAATCTATAAGGGATGCATTTTCAGGGGTTTAGCAATTTTCTCTCCTCCCTATTTCATTAAAGATAACATTGCCAGATACAGAGAAGGTGGCTTATTCTGCCTAAAGAGTAGCTAAGGTAGGGAAAATTATTACAGAATGAAAATTAATGAGAATAATGTATTTAAACTGAATTTAAATATGAAGCTTCACTTTTTTACTAGACACGGATTTGAGATCCTATGAATATGTATTTGAGATGTTATGACTATATAAATAGAATTAGGGGGATTTCCCTTTCTGTTACCAGATTTAATTGAATATATTTATAAATTTGTGTTATGTTGTTATAAAGAGAAAGGAAAAGCATTATTCAGGAGAGAAAAACAATTTTTTTCATAAGTCCACTTTCTGTGTATAACTTAATGTTGAACAACAAATAAATCCTTTTGCAAATAAGATACATGTGCTACAGTCAGAATGAACCAAATTGAACATGTAGATACACATAGTGTGGTAGGCATTATGCACAGGCCGTGCCGTGGCGTGTTCTTCTTCCTGCCCCACCATACCTTGTCCATACAGCCTCCCACAACATTCATGTCTCATCTGATCATCTCCTACTGTCAATCTTGACATATGCCATGGTTTGTACAAAGAGAGGATGTCTCTTTAGGAAGATTTTGTTAATGATGGCAGTAACCTTGTCATTCTGCTTGTATAGCTTGATGATGAACGTATGGAGCAAATGTCAAATATGACTTTGATGAAGGAAACCATAACCACTGTGGAAAAAGAAATGAAATCACTAGCAAGGAAGGCAATGGATACAGAAAGTGAACTTGGCAGACAAAAGGCAGAGAATAATTCTTTGAGGTAAACTAAATTACCTTTAAACAACTAGTTTACTGTAGCTACTAGATCTGCTTTTTGTAGTGTATTTTATAATGATAATTAAGTTGACTTTACTTTCTGAGAGGGTTATTATGAAGCAATTGAAGAAACCTCAGCACACATTAAATGATTTTCCCAAGATCACTTACAGACTAGTAATGCCATACTTAACTAGGAATCAAACTTCGAGTAGTCTTCACCTTACATTTGCAAAAAGCCTTAATATTTAACTGACATAACTTTTACAAAGTCCTTCTGGGTACAGAGCATATTTGACTTTGGTGTTTGAATGTGTAAGAACACATATTGGAACTGCTGTTATTTGAGGGCCAAGTAGGTACTTAGCCCTTCCTATATACTGGTATGGGAGCAAAAGATATGCCAATTAAAGCAACCTATAGGCAATAAGTATAGGGGAATAAGTTTTTGAAGACCTCCATGTAACCAGTTTTACTTTTAGTATCTGTTGATGTGAGTTCTGTAAATTCAGTAATGTTGAATTGCAGTGCAGCTGTGAATGTTTGAAAAATAGTAATTCATATGAGTATGAAATATATTAAGTCTACATATAATTCTTGGTTCACATAAGAGTTCCCAGGGTCCCCTCTTTCATCTTTCAAGGGTCTGTGGTACGTATTTTTAAATCACTTGTCAAGACAGATAATCACTCAAATTTTTTTCCATTCATTCATTCATTCATTCAATCATTCATTCATGGGTCTGTGGTACATATGTTGAAATCACTTGTCAGGATAGATAATCACTCAGATTTTTTCCATTCGATCATTCATCCATTCACTTTAAAGTGTATTAATTTATTTTGAGAGAAACAGCAAGCCAGGGGAGGGGCAGAGAAAGAGGGGAAAGAGGATCCAAGGCAGGGTCTGCTCTGAGACAGCAGAGAGACCAATTTGGGGCTTGAACTCGAACCACAAGATCATGACCTGAGCCAAAGTCAGACACTTAACCAACTGAGCCAACCCAGGTGCCTCTCGCTTCATTTATTTTTTTAATTTCCTGTTTAAAAGGATATTGCAGTCTTGGATAAAATAAAACTAATAAAATAACAACAAAGAAAACCTTGGAAAATAGAGAAAAGGGTAAAGAAAATTTAAATCATCCATGATTCCATAACTCATTGAAAACTATTATTAATATAGGTCTCTTTCTAATCAGAAATATTTCCATCCATATTATATAAGCTTTCTGTGTAATTGTCATTGGCCATTTTCATTTAATTGTATATCATAAGCATTTTCTTGTGTCATTAGAAGTTCCTTGAAAGTAGTTTATTAAAATATTCTAACAGATAAATGTGTAATACTTCTGAGGGGTTTTGCATATACTTGTTTTCTTTTAACAGTGTTATTAGAGTCTAATTGACATACCTACAGTAAACTGCACATGTTTTAAAAAGTGTTCAGTTAAGTTGTGACATATGTATATAACCGTAGCACAATCAAGATAGTGGCCTTATCCATCATTCCCAAAAATTTCCTCATGCCTCTTTGTAACCTCTCACTTATTCTGCCAGTCCCGGGACAACCACTGATTTACTTTCTGTCATAGAGATTTGTTTGGATTTTCTAAAATGTTATATAAATAAAATCATATAGTATATATTCTTTTTTGGGCTGCCTTCCCTCAGCATAATTATTTTGAAATTTATGTTATATAATCAATAGTTTTTTCCATTGTATGAATAAGCCTCGTGGACATTTTGGTTGTTTCCAGTTTTGGACTATAAAAAATAAAACTTTCATTCTTAAAAATATACATTCTTATATGAGTCTTTGTGTGGACATAAGCTTTTATTTTTCTTGGATAAATACCTAAGGGTAGAGTGAGTAGGCCTGTGATGTTTATATGTTTAACTTTTGAAGAAACCATTAAACTCTTTTCCAAAGTGGGTGTGCTATTTTCTTTTACATTTGTATCAGTAGTATATAAGTGTTCCAGGTGTTACATAGCCTCACCAACACTTGGTGTGCATTATCTTTTTAATCTTAACTATTAGGTATATTTTATGGTTTTAATTTGCCTTCCTTAATAACCAATGATTTTTAAGCATTTGTACATGTGCTTACATGCCATACATTTATCTTCTTTAGTGTCCATTCAAATCTTTTGCACACTTTTCCTGAATTGTTTATATTACTATCAAGTTATAAAAGTCCTTTCTATATTCTAAGTCCTGTATCACATATATTTTGCAAATATTTTCTCCCAGTCTATGCCTTGCTTTTTTATTAAATGTCTTTTAATGAGCAAATGTTTTTTCATTTTTGCTAAGTGAAATTTATTGAGTTTTTAAAAATTTTATCTAGCTTTTTATATTCTTTTAAAGAAATCATTGTCAGGGCTCAGGTCACTAGGATTTTTCTTCTGTGTTTTCTTCTAGCAGTTTAACATTAAAATTTAACATTTAAATCTGAGATCCACTTCAAAGTTTTGTGTTTAGTACATAGGATATAAATCAAAGTTCACCTTTTTTTTTTTTTTTGGCATAATGATAATCAATTGTTCCAGTACCACTTATTGAAAAACTATCCTTTCTATAGTGAATTGTTTTTGTACCTTTGTAGAAAGTCAGTTGTCCATATATGTGTAGGTCTGTTTCTTGATGAGCTATTTTGTTTGATGGATCTGTTTATATATCTCAATTCCAATACTACCTGTCTGATTATTTTGGCCTTTTTTAAAGTCTTCAAATTAGGTAATGTTAGTCTTCAACTTTGTTCTTTCTCAAAGTAGTTTTGGCTATTCTAGTTCCTTTGTATTTTATTTTAATTTTAGAATCAGCTTCACAGTGTATATAAAAAAAAGCCTGCTTGGGAATTTGATTGGTACTGGGGACACTGACATCTAAAGAATATCAAGTTTTCCCACTCATAAATACAGTATAGCTCTCCATTCTTTACATCTTTAATTTCCCTCAGCAATGTTGTGTAGTTTTTAGTGTGGTCTTGTACTTCTTTTTTTTGTCAGATTTATCTCTGGAGTATTTCCTATTTTTTGATGCTGTTATAAATGGAAATTTAAAATTTCACTTTCTGATTTTTTATTGCTTGTATATGAAAACACAATTGTTTTTAAAGATAAACTTTGTATTTTAGTGCAGTTTTAGATTTACAGAGCAATTGTGAAGATGGTAGAGTTCCTACTTCACACCCAATTTCCTCTATTATTAATATCTTACATTAGTAGATTACATTTATTGTGATTAAAGAATCTATTATTTGATACATTATTAACTGAAGTCCATACTTTTAATCATATTTCCTTAGTTTTCCCCTAATGTCCTTTTTCTGTTCCAGGATCCCATCCAGGACACTATATTACATTTAGTTGTCATGTCTCCTTAGGCTTCTCTTGGCTATAACAGTCTCAGACTTTCCTTGTTTTTGATGGCCTTGACAGTTTTGAGGAGTACTATCAGGTATTTTGTGGAATGTCTCTCAATTGGGGTTTGTCTTCTGTTTTTCTCATGATTATACTGGGTAATATGTTTTTGAGAGAAAGGTCACAGAAGTAAAATGTCATTTTAGGGTACGTATATATCCAGGGTGTCATGGGTATGTATTATCAATATGATTTATTACTGTTGATTTTGACCTTGATCACCTGGCTGAGGAAATGTTTCCCTTTTCAAGAATGTCATATAATTGAAATCATACAGTATAAAACCTTTTCTGACCAGCTTCTTTCACTTAGCAATGTGCATTTTAGGTTCATTTGTTTATCTCATATCTGGTTAGCTTATTTCTTCTTATCATTGAATAATATTCTATTGTATGTATGTACCACAGTGTGTTTGTCCATGCACCTATTGAAGGACATGTTGGTTGCTTCCAGTTTTTGGCAATTATGAATAAAACTGCTGTAAACTTTCATGTGCAGGTTTTTGTGAGGACATAGGTTTTCAAATCAGTAAATACCTAGGGGAATAATTGCTGAATTATAGAGTAAATCTGTATTTTGCTTTATGAGAAACTACCCAACTCTTTCAAAGCGACTGTACTATTTTGCATTCACACCAACAGTGAATGAGAGTTTCTGTTGCTCCATATCCTTGTCAGCATTTGGTTTTGTCAGATTTTTGTATTTTAGCCATTTTAATAGGTATAATAGGTATGTAGCGATATCTCATTGTTTTAATCTGCAATTCATTAATGACAAATGATGTGGAGCATCTTTTCATATTGTTGCTTGCCATCCATATATTTTGATAAGGTATCTGTTTAGATATTTTGCTCATTTTTCAATTGTTTTGTTTGTTTGCTACTGTGGAATTTTCAGAATCCTTTGAATATTTTTGATACATGTTGTTATCAGATACGTGGTTTGCAAATATCTTCTCCCTGTCTGTGTCTTTTTTCATTTTTTTAACAATGTCTTTTGTACGGCAGAGATTTTAAATTTTGATAAAGTTCAACTTACCTTTTTCTTTCATGGATTGTATTTTTGGTGTAGTATTTTTTTTATTTTATTTTTTAATTGTTTTAATGTTTTTTATTTATTTCTGAGGGAGAGAGAGACAGCGTGGGCAGGAGAGGGTCAGAGGGAGAGGGAGATACAGAATCTGAAGCAGGCTCCAGCCTCTGAGCTAGCTGTGAGCACAGAGCCTGACGTGGGACTCGAACCCACAAACCGTGAGATCATGACCTGTGCTGACGTCGGACGCTCAACCAACTGAGCCACCCAGGCGCCCCATTGTGTGGTATTTAAAAACTCATTACCAAACCCAAGTGCACATATTTTTCTCTTGTGTTTTCTTCTAGAAGTTGTATAGTTTTGCTTAAGGTCAGTGATCTAAGTTGAGTTAATTTTTGTGAAAGATATAAAGTTTGTATCTCAGTTTACTTAAATTGCATATGGATGTCTTAAAATTGTTCCAGTTGAAAGACTGCCCTTTCTGTATTTTTTTTGCTCTTTTGTCAAAGATCAGCTGATTATAGGGGCGCCCGGGTGGCTCAGTCGGC